CACACATGCCACATACACACCACACACACGCCACACACACACCAGACAACACGCACACTATACACAACACACACAACACACAGACACACAACACACAACATACACAAACACAACATACACACAACACACACAACACACACACCGCAAACACACACCACACAAACACCACACACACCGCAAACACACACCACACACACACCACACACACCGCAAATACACAACACACACACTGCAAAAACACACAACACATACCACACACAACACACACGCCACACACACACCACACACAACACACACGCCACACACACAACACACACCACACAACACACAACACACACAACACACAACATACACAACACAGACACACAATACATACCACACACAACACACACCACACAACACACACACCACACATGCCACACACACACTACACACAACACAACACAGACACACACAACACAACACACAACATACACACACCACACAACATACACACAAACAACACACACACACACACACCACACTTATTTAAATTCAGACTCAAAGGCATGGAATAGGAAGACTTTAAAAAGAAGAAAGTGGTACAATGCCAAATATGTAAAATACTTGGAATTAGAATTTCAGAAGAAGAACAGGACAGCAGAAGTATTTGAAGAGATAATGGATGAGAATTTTTCAGTAAATGGTAAAATATATCAGGCTACCTATTCAAGAACTACACATTCAAGTATAAGACACAGTAAAGGATAGTCACAAAACAACACAAGGATAATGAGAGAGAAAAGTGGAAATGTAAAATAGAGGAAATAAAGGGTAAAACAGAAAACATTTAGTCAGATGGTAGATTTCAACCCAACTATATCAATAATTACATTTAAAGGAAATGGGATTAGCAAATCAACTAAAATACAAGGATTTTTCAGATTAGGTTTTTTTTTCCACAAAAAAGTCACAGCAAGGCTCAAGTACAGCTCTGTATAAGAGACCCACTTTAAATATAATGACACAGATACATGGATTAAAAGAAAAAGGACACAGGGCAAGTATTTGGCCCAGTGGGTGAGACAGAGCTTGGGACACCTACAAACTACATCAGGAGCTGAGTTCCAAATCTGCTTCCATGTCTTGCTTCCGGTTACTGTGTGCCCTGGGAGACAACAGGTGATGGCTCATGTATGTGGGGGCCCAACTACTCCCATGGGAAATCTGGATGGACTTCCAGGTTCCTGGCTTTGGTCTGACCCAGCCCTGGCAAGTGCAGGCATTTAGGGAGTGAATTAGCACATGGGAGATCTCTGGCTCCCTCTGTCCCTGTGCATTTCAAAGAAAATGAAAATAAGTAATTCAGTTTACAAGGCAAAAGGATGGAAAAATTACACCACACAAAAACTAGCCAAAAGAAGCCTTCTATGATTGTATGAATATGAAGAAAGTAGACTTCAGATTAACAGAGATTAAAGAGGAGTATTAAGGTAATAAAGCTATTTATTAATTAAATAAGAGGGGTAACAATTTAAAGGCCTTCAAAATACATGAACAAAAACTGGTAGAACTAAAAGATTAAATAGCCATATCAAAAGTTACAGTTAGAGACTTCAAGTCTTCTGCTCAGGATTCAATAGAACAGACAGGAGTAGAATCCTTGAACATCATAATCAACAAAACTGACCTAAGTGACAATTACAGAATTCTGTCCCAGAATTGCAGAGTACATATTTTCTCAAGAGCACATAAAACATTCCCCAGGATGGACAAATTAGGGACCATAAAATAAAAGATAATAAACTTTAAAAATTTTTATTAGCAATAATTGTACATATGTGTGGACTACATTGCGACACTTCAATGCATGCATGCAATATTACTGATCAAGACAGGGTAATCGGCATTTCCCCTTCTTTGACATGACTTTAGGGTTGGAGCCTTGGAGCCCCTTCCTTCCATTTGCTCATAAAATATATATACTAGGCTATTCGTCTACCTATTACAACATGTAATAGCAGAAATTGACTCTTTTGCTTGAACTCAAATTTGATATTCATTATACAAACTCCCTCTATTCCCCACCCCTCCCAACCTCCAGTAATCACCACTGTGCGTTCAGGTTGAGGTTTGTTCTTTTCAGCCCACACATACCAGGGAGAACATGCACTATCTGTCTTTCTGTGTCTGGCTTATTTCACTTATTGCTGTATAAAAAAATAATTTTTGTATGTTGACTTTGTATCCTGCAACTTTACTGAATTGGTTAATCAGTTTTAACAGCTTTCTGGTGGAGTGTGGATTCATACAAGGTATTTTTGCTGAAATAGAAACATATCTGGGACATTCTCAAACACTTGGAAATCAAATGACCCACTTAGAAATAATCCATGGGTCAAATAAAAAGTCATAAAAGGAATTAGAAGATTTTAACTAGACGTTAATGAAAACGAAACATACTCAGGATGGTGAGAGGCAGCTGAAGCTGCGCCTGGAGAGAGGTAAAGGGCACTAAACGCTTATCTTAGGACAAAAGAAAGTCTTCCGTCAATGGCCTAAGATTTCTTCACTACCAAAGGGAAGCGTACTAAATGAGCAGAGCAAAGAAAACTATAGAGTCGAAAAGGGGTCAATGAACTAGACAATAGAAAATTAGAGAAAAGCCGATAAAAGCAAAATCTGGTCCCTGGAATACAAATAAAATTGATAAATCCCCATAATGATATTTCAGTCAGTGAAGGACTGTGTGTGCAGTGTTGGTTCTATAAGATTCCGTCACCATGTAACCATCTTAATCTGTGTAAGCATACTCCGTGGTGTTCATACAAGGGCACCTGCCTTTAGGTGATGTGGGTCTGTGTGTGTGTGTGTGTGTCTATTTAGTGAAATCGAGAGAAGAGAAGGAGAGAAAGAGCAGGGATAAACACAAAGGACTAAATTCTGAATATTGGAAGAGGCGCCGTCAACCACAACACCAAAGTTCTCCAGTCACAAAGGAGGAAAAAGGTGGTATATATACTACAACATCATGCCATAGATCAGAAAATGTACATGAAAGGAACATTCTTTGAAAGGCACAAATGATGCTCACTCAAAAAAAATGTAAATATTCCTGAATCTGAGGAACTAAATTGACTTTTAAAAACTTTTCAACAAGGAAAATTGTGCTCAGATGGCTTCACTCATTAATTCTGTCAAACATTTGAAGATGACATAATACAAATTCTACAAAACTCGTCCAAAAAATAGAAGAGAAGGAAATATTTTCCAACTCATTTCACAAGGCCAACATTACATTGAGAACAAAAACAGTCAGATATTACAAGGTAAAACTACTTAGACTTCAATATTCCTCTGTCACATAGACCCAAAAAAAGGTTAAAATATTAAACCAAAGCCAGCAATATACAAAATGAATAATGTGTCATGACCAAGCATGGTTTCAACTTGGAGTGCAAGATTAAGTCAGGATTCAAAAAATCAATTAATATAACTCACTACATTAACATACTGAAGAAGAAAAACCATGGGATAATTCCCGTGGATGTGGAAAAAAAGCATTTCACAAAATTCAAAATCCATTGATGATCAGAGAAAAAGAAAAAAGTCTCAGCAAAGTAGAACTAGAAGGGACTTTCTCAGCCAAATCAGGACATCTACAAAACCTATCACATGTGTGTGCACGTGCGTGCATGTGTGTATATGTGTGTGCACGTGTGTATTGTGTACGTGTGTGCAAATGTGTGAACACGTATGTATGTGTGTGTGCCCATGTGTGTATTGTGTACATACAAAACATAATTCCTCATAGGTGGGGATTTTCTCAGGCCTGCAAGTTCACTTTAACACCCAAACATCAGCATAATTCATCATATTAAGAGAATAGAAATAAAAAGTCAAAAACATAGAACCAAACTCAAAGATGGAGCAAACATTTTTTATAAAATTCAGCGTCAATGAAATGTGGCTGCCTAGAAATAGAAGGCAATATCCACAAAACTCACAGCCAACAGTCTTTAAACAGTGAAGACTGATGGCTTCCCATAAGATCAGGCATATGCTATGGATGTCTACTATTAGCACTTTCTACTCAACACTGAACTAGAGGTCATACCCAGTGCCTTAGGGAAGAAACTCATAAAATCCATAGAGAAGGAAAAGAAATCAGTAGAATCCTGTTTCTTCACAGACAACAAAATTTCAAATATATCATAAAGAACCTACCTTAAAGTTACTAGAATTTAAAAGTGAGTTTAATAATGTCTCCGCATACAAGATAGTAGGCAAAAATCAACTGCACTTCTACATTTTAGCAATAAACAACTGGAAATTAAAATTACAAAAACAATACCTTTTATAATAGCATCATAAAACACAAAAATAACTCGAGTATATTTAATGAGGTATACTGCAGCATTTGTACACTGAAAACAACAGATACTACTGAAATATTTTTTAAAAAACAAGTGAAGGGGTACCACGTCAATTCATCAGGAGACTTACTGTTAAAATGTTAATTGTCTTCCACTTTATCTAAAGATGCAACTAAATTCAGACTCCACCAGTTTGTGGTACATATTTATTAGCTGCATGCTAATTTAATAGACGGATGCTAATTCAATAGATGGAAAACAGCTAAAATAATTTTAACAAAGTTCAAACTGGAGGACTTACAAGATTTTAAAATGTATCAGAAAGGTGCACTAACCCAGATATATCTGCCAATGGGACTGAACAGGGACTGGAAATAAACCCACAGAACGTACTGTGGACAAAGAAGTTAAGGTCATTTAACAGAAAAAAAAAATTATTGTCTTTTAAGTATATGTTACTGGAAGAACTGGATATCTATATGGGTAAAAAGAACAGACTCTCCACCAACAGCATATTTTTTAAAATATTTATTTATTTATTTGAAGGTCAGAGTTACATACACAGAGAGAAGTAGAGGCAGAGAGAGAGAGAGAGAGAGAGGTCTTCCATCCACTAGTTCACTCCTCAATTGGCCGCAGTGGCCGGAGCTATGCCAATCCAAAGCCAGGAGCCTGCAGCTTCCTCCAGGTCTCCCATGTGGGTGCAGGGGCCCAAGGACTTGGGCCATCTTCTACTGCTTTCCCAGGCCATAGCAGAGAGCTGGATCAGAAGTGGAGCAGCCAGGACTCAAACCGGTGCCCATATAGGATGCTGGCACTGTGGGTGGTGGCTTTTTACCCGCTATGCACAGCGCCAGCCCCCCAACAGCATATTTTTAAGACTAGCTGATAATGTATTGGAGACATAAATTATCAGGTATCTGGAATAAAATGTAGGAGAAAAAAAATTTTAATTAATTAATTAATTTATTTATTTTACAGGCAGAGTGGACAGTGAGAGAGAGAGACAGAGAGAAAGGTCTTCCTTTGCCGTTGGTTCACCTTCCAATGCTGCTGTGGCTGGCGCGCTGCGGCCAGCACACCGCGCTGATCCAAAGGCAGGAGCCAGGTGCTTCTCCTGGTCTCCCATGGGGTGCAGGGCCCAAGGACTTGGGCCATCCTCCACTGCACTCCCGGGCCACAGCAGAGAGCTGGACTGGAAGGGGGGCAACCGGGACAGAATCCGGTGCCCCGACTGGGACTAGAACCCGGTGTGCCAGCGCCGCAAGGTGGAGGATTAGCCTAGTGAGCCGCGGCGCCAGCCAGGAGAAAATATTTTTTTAAGATTTATTTTATTTATTTGAAATGCAGAGTTACAGAGAGAGAGAGAGAAAGTGAAAGAGAGAAAAATATGTCCCATCCACTGGTTCCGTCCCCAAATGGCTGCAATGGCTAGGGCTGGGCCAGGCCAAAGCCAGGAGCCAGGAGCTTCACTGTGGTGTTCCATGTGGGTACAGGGACCCAAGCACTTGGGCCATCTCCTGCTGCTTTCCCAGCTGTATCAGCAGGGAGCTGGATTGGAAGTGGAGCAGCCAGGGCTGCAACAGGTACCCACATGGGATGCTGGTGCTGGGGGTGGCTGCTTAACCCACTGTACCACAGCACTGGCCCCAGGAGATATTCATGACTTTGGTTTAGGAAAAAATAATAAATGATACCCCAAACATGAATAGTAGTAGAAATAATTGATGAAACTGAGATTTATTCTTAACTAAAAGTTTGTAAAATTCCAAAGATGTGTATATCTGTTTTAAAAACTAAAGAGGCAAGATTCAAATAGGGAGAAAACTATATCTCATAAAGAGCTTGTATCAAGACTAGATGAAGAATACTCAAGACCCAATAATAAGACATACAATCTGTTTTTTTTTAAAAAGTAGGTAAAAGATCTGACTAGACATATAGCACTTAAAAAGTTAATACACTGACAACTGAAAACGTGAGAAAATATTCAACATCCTTGGTTGCTAGGGAAATGGCAAGGAAAAAACACCATGAAATACTATTCTATAACTGTGAGAATGGCCAAAATGAAAAAGACGGATGAACCCAGTGCTGCTGAGGCTGTAGGGAGACTGGAAGACGTCCTCCGGTGCTGAGGGGAATGCCAAGTGATGCAGCCATGGTGGAAAACAGCGCGGCAACTTCTTTCAGAGTAAAACAGGCAGGCACCACGTAACACAGTTCCCCTGCAGGTGCACATCCTGGTTCTGTCCAGAATTGGCGCACAACCCCACAGCTTGAAAGGGGCTACACAGTATTTCAGAGATGGCAGAGAGTTCTCTTTTCATCATGGATTGATTCATATAGATTTCGAGGTGATGCACCATTACTGTAAGGACTATGACTGTACATAGAAGAGATATTCGGGGGTGACAAAAATTTTGCCTACTTCTGCAGTCAGCCAGACAGAAATGTGTACAAAGCCCAGTAGAGCTATGAACACACATTATGCCAAGCACTTTTCTGGTTTTGGTATTGCATAAAGTACATAGGCTCTATTTGTGCCATCTTTGTAAGTTACTATACATCTGCAGTTATTTCTAAAAAAGAAGACAAAAATATTATAAAATGGGCATAGGGCCTGAGAAGACATTCCTTAAAAAGAGATATGACCAACAGGTATATGAAAAAATGTTCAATATCACTAATCATTAGAGAAATGCAAATTAAAATCATACTGAGATATCAGTTCCTATCTATTAGGATGGCTTATCCCCAAAATATAAAAGATAAATGTTCATAAGGATATGGAAAAAAAGGAACCTACTTGTATTCTACAAGGGGTCTTCAGAGAATTCATGGGAAATACCTATTATGAAGAAAATTATGCTTGGGTTTCAGAGTTCATTGCACCAAAATAAACTACCCTTTAATCTCACTTTTACAAAAAATGAAGCACTCTGGTATTGACAGGGATGTAAATTAGTACAGACTTTATGAAAACTCAAGAAACCAAAAGCAGAACTACCATAGAATCCAGTAAGCCCATTACTGGATATCTGTACAAAGGATTTGAAATCAGTGTGTCGGGGCTGGCATTTTGGCACAGTGGGTTAAAGCCCTGGCCTGAAGCACCGGCATCCCATATGGGTGCCGGTTCTAGTCCTGGCTGCTCCTCTTCTGATCCAGCTCTCTGCTATGACCTGGGAAAGCAGTGGAGGATGGCCCAAGTCCATGGACCCTGCACCCTTGTGGGAGACCTAGAAGAAGCTCCTGGCTCCTGGCTTCAGATCAGCGCAGCTCCGGCCATTGCAGCCATCTGGGGAGTGAACCAGCAGAGGGAATACCTCTCTCTGTCTCTACCTCTCTCTGTAACTGTCTTGCACATAAATAATTTAGATCTTTAAAAAAAGAAAAGAAATCACCGTGTCAATCCTCATGATAATCCCCCAAAATAGGCGAATGTTCTTACCACCAGGTTGCAGAAGTGTTCATCTAAGAGAGAAATTTTACTCCATTCTATGCAACTATGGGATGGTATTCCAGCCATTTTCAAACCATTTTACCTTTATTCAAAGCATATCTTATCTGTTGGAGAACTAATTGAGACAATTTCAGTTCTAGTGGTTCAGACGAAGGGTTTGTACAGGGTTTTGCGTTACCTTTAAGTCTCCAGGGTGGTGTTTATGGCATGCGATATTACACACACTCCAAGTAAACTGCAATCACCGGGATGCTGCTCTTTCTCCCAAGGGAATGGTCAGTTTCAAACTTGCCTTAAAGTAGTGAACACAGACCATCCAAGACTTAGGTGGCCTTAGGTCATCCTGTTCAGCAAATTCCAGGAAGCAGGGAGTTTCTGGCTGCCAGACAGACATAAATTGGAAAGTTGTACATAATCCTACAACTCAGTTGACTCCTCAGAGGATAGAAATGGAAAACTGTTGGGCAGCCAACCCAAAACTTCTGAGACTCTGGCTGCTGGAACCCAATCACTGGCTGCTCTTTGTTCCCGTCACATGGGAGAAAGGAGCTGGCCCACACAATCAGCCTGCTTGGTTTGGAACAACTTGAGACAAGACCCCATCCTTCCCCTAAGAGAGTCAATACCTATTCACGTCCTGTGTTTCTTCTATAAAATTAATCATAGCTCACGAGTATAGTCCAGGACATCTACACTTTGTATTAGTTGTGAATCATTTAGGGAGCACATTTAAGGAGAGGCTAGCTTGATCCACACTCTATAAAGCTAGCCAATGTTTATGACAGAGCAAAACCACACAAAAACTTTTTTAGTTTTTCAGTTTACAAATTCTCTTATTATGGTCTCTGCCTTTGATAAGGGGCTTAGCTGAGACTCACTTCTGGTATAAAAATCAAGATTTGGGCGATTCACATTATATTTTTATTTGTCAAAGGCAGAATTTTCCTTAAACAGATGATTGGGCTTGGCAATAAAATATAAAGTCAAAAATGATTAATATTCTAGCTTTAGCTTGCGGTTATAGACATTAATTTTTAGTGCAAGTTATGATTGGCAAAAATAAGGGGAAAGTATTCCAGCAAAGCTGTAAAACGATTAAACCTAGATGTGGACTCTCTCGTGAACTTCAATTACACCTTCACACACAATGAGCCAACACAACATTCCCTTCCACGGGTTTGAAGTTCACGGTTCAGAGATCCTAACTGCAGCTTGGGCTGAAATGAAACAGGATGTGCTCTGAGAAAACAGTGGTTCTCCGGGGATAATCATTAACTCTGCGGAGAGAGCCGGGCTGATGAAAGAGTTGCCTTCTGGCCAGTCTGTGGCACGTCAGATGAAAATGGACAGCCTGCGTGAGGCTGAGAATCCTGCTTTCATACCAGGAGAAGGCTTAGAGCCTCGTTATCTGGACAGCTATGCATAGCCTTTAGTCCTAGAATATCCACACTATACTGTTTAAGTAGCGTGAAAAAATCCCCAGTGGACCTCAGGGCACCTGCAGCCTTTCAGTGTTCATGACTGGCTACAAGGAAGCCTGGGTGATGACTATTGCCCGCCCTTAAAATATTAAAAGGCATAGCAGTGGCGGGGCTATGAATAAAACTTTCCCAAGAGAACTTGAACTTCATGGACCACATTTAATTTATTTTCTCTCCGTGTATTCATGATAGAAAACTGCACCTTCATGGAATGTTTGTTTGTGCTCCATCTTTCATTCCATCCCAGGGCAACTGCTGTAACTGATGTAGGTGCTGCACCTCGAATGACAGAGCAGAGGGGAGGCGGAATGCATCAGTTGTGTTTAGAGTGCCATGGAGAAAGGATCAGTATAATATACGATGCACACATGTTTGGTCTACTCACACATAAATCCTCATTACTACCATATTTTTGTAATTTCTTTCTTTTCCAAATTAAATAGTAAACATAAAAGTGAACTGAAAGATTCCCAAGTTTAAGTATCATTACCAAATGTGCTCAGGTTGACCCAGCTAAACCTCTCTCTCCCCGCACGGTGTCCTCAGGACATTGTCTTGGCTTCAGTTCCATCTTTTCTTTCTATTCTTGGATATTTGTATGATTTACCATTCGCTTTTTTTTTCCTCTTCCAAATTGATACCTGGTTTGTTTTGTTTAATCATTTTTTAGATTTATTTTATTTATTTGAAAGAGTTATAGAGAAAGAGACAGGGGAGAGGGGGAGAAAGAGAGAGAGAGAGAGAGAGAGAGAGAGAGAGGTCTTCCATCCACTGATTCACTCCACAAATGACTACCATGGCCGGAACTGAGCCAATCCAAAGCCAGGAGCCAGGAGCCAGGAGCTTTATCTGGGTCTCCCACATGGGTGCAGGGGCCCAGCCACTTGAGCCATCTTCTGCTGCTTTCCCAGGCGCATTAGCAGGGAGCTGGATCAGAAGTGGAGCAGCCGGGATTCAAACCGGCACCCATATGGGATGCAGCACTACTGCCTGGGCTTTATCCAGCTGCGCCACAGCACCAGTCCCTGTTTTGTTTAATCTTTATCAGCTTCCTAAGGTTCTACCCTCGAGTTAGGTAATGTTCTCTGCCTGCAGATTTTTTGACTCACATGGAATTGTTTTCTCTTAGGTAGCAGGTCCTCCACTGTACTACCTCGTCTCCTTGAGAAATCACACTATTTCCCTCCTAAATAGTTCAAACCCCCACCAAAACAGAACGGTTTCTTGGCAGAGCTAGAGACCTCCTTGTGATGAATGTGAGACAGCTGGAGAGTGACAGCCCTGAGCGCTCCTGTCCTCCACCACCGCTGACAGCCGTAGCCTCGGATGCTCTTCAGTGCGCTCCAAGAGGCTTCTGTGTCCAACTCCGTGGAAACAGTGCTTGTCCATGTCATCCCTGGCCCCCACTCTGCTGAGCTCACCAGCCGCTCCTCCGTCCTTGGGTGTCTCTCATCAGATTTCAACCCGCTGGGTCACTCTGCCCTTTTTCACTTTCTCACCCCTGGACACACTGCCTTCTTGCCCTCACACTGTCCTGCTCCAGCTTCCCTTTGGCCTCACTGGCTGTGCCTGGACGCCTTCCTCTGCTGGATCCTTCCCTCGGTCAGAACTTCCACGCTGGCTCACACAGACGGGGTGCGTGCCTATCTTTGTCTTCTGGTCTCTGCTGTTGCTCCAGGTTTTCTTGCACAGTGGTATGATGGTAACGGCCAGGACGACCCCTGTCCATCTCCCCACCAAGTTTTAGCTCACCTGGAACGCCCCCTTGGGGTCGAGTAGGTACCTTGAAGGTAGCCAGTTCCAAAGAGCGCACGCAATGCCTCCTTTTCCTGTCTTCCCCTGAACGCTCTTGCCGCCCTCCACCAAGTGCAGTCAGAAATCAGGGCACTATCCTTGATTCTTCTTCCTCCTTTAACCCATTCCAATCTGTCAGCAAGTTCTAGGAGCTCCAAACAGACCCCTGTCCTTCCAGTCTTCTCAATTCCAACCCTTCTAGCCTGGACCACACTCCCTTCATCTCTCTCCTCAATTATCTGAACTGTTCCCCCTCCTCCTATATGAACTACTTAAAGCCTACTTTCTCTAATACAAAGTGACCTTTCAACAGCACAACACAGGTATTGTGGCAACTTCATTTGTTTTGCTTGTTATGTAACTCAACACCCCGAGTCAGCTGCCTAGCTGTCTCTCCACTGAAACACCAGTGCTGTCTACCGTAGCTGGATTCCTGCGGTTCAGGGCACACCCATTTCCCTGATTCCCCTCTTGTTCTTTGAGCCAACTTTGTATGTCTCGCTCCTCCAAACAATTTGGAACCACCACCTGCTTGCAGCCATGCAGCTTTGATTCTAATTGATACTAGGAAATTCAGCTCCATGGCTACAGCTTCCACTTGTCAACCCCATATTTCAGGGGCCGTCTACTCCCAGTGACTCAATGCATGGTACCAGAATCCCTTCCTAGGGAGATTTCTGCTAGCTGTGTTTGAGAAATTATTCTCCTGGATCCTCTGACACAGTAGGTTGCAGCACGTGACAAATTCAGTCTCTGGCTCCCCAGCCCCTTCCCTCACATTCTGCCATGGTATTTCCGCCACCTCTGTCTTGCTTCTCCCGAGACACCACTGTCTCGGTGAGAGCTGTCCCAGCAACACAGGGGGACCAGTTCCTGCCAGGTTGCTAAATCCTCAGCCTGTCACTGTTCCCTCGAGGTTCTGAAGCAGCTATGAAAACCAACAGAATCTGCGCTCATTCCAATTATCTGAATGACTGGTTGTCCCTAAAGCACTCACCCTAAGGATGCCACCCTGCAGCCGGGGCTGATGGCAGTGGGGACCCACTGCTGGTAAGTGTCATGTTCCACCTGCTTCCATTCCAGCATCCTAAGGGCCAAACCACCCAAGTCTCGGATCCTCTCAAAAGGAGAACCTAAGGGAGTGGTTTTACCTTGGGTAGTTTACCTCGGGAGTTATTCCGGCGAGCAGGAATGCAAGACCACAGAAAGGGAAACGGGGCAAGGGGGGAAATGACACCAAAAGGCGTTATCTAGTGGCCACCAACCTTCTGCAGTGCATAGGAAATGCTCTTCAGAGCCACCTGCGCCAGGGGAGGAGGCCAGAAGCACCCTCCAACCCTCTCCCCGCCGACGAGTGCTGTTTCACAAAGGGCAACTTGCTGCCGTGTCCAGTGTGTGCGTCACAGAGGCAGGGCAGGCTCCTGCGAGGCCCCGAGGCACAAGCTTGCGGTGAGGCAGTCTCTACAGCGTAGACCCAGGGTCCGCGGAGACACTGGCTGCCTCTGTGAGGTGATGCTGAGGCCTGTGCTCTGCACAAGCACTGTCAGGCATGGGGAAGAAGACTCAACGCTGGCGGCTGTTCACCGCCCCTCAGACAGTGCTGCACGTCCCTGTCCCTCTCTCATTGTTTCCTCTGTATCATGGGCTCCCAAACCTACAAGCAAAACAGAATTCCGAAAGTCGCACACGCACACCTGTACCCTAGACATTCTGATTCAGCCATACCCAGTGACAGCCCGGGAAACTTGTTACAAACCCCCCCCCCCCCCCGAAGGATTCGGATGTGACCCAACTGTAAACACACGTCCTTTTCACCTGCAACTCGGGGAATTATTTAGACCACTGCATAAACATGGGAATCTCAATAAAAATCATAGCACACCATTCCTTTGCTCAGAGACCTTGCCTGGATAAGATTCACATGCGAGAAACAGTAAGCACGTTACACGGGACAAAATCCAGCCAGATACTGTAGCCACCCAGCTGCCCCGTGTAGAGTGCTCCCCAGCAGTATTCAAACTACTCTCCTCCTCCTGCGTTTATACTCCGTTGAATACACACTTAGTAAAGACGTTCGTCTATAAGATGTCTTATCTGTTAGGTATCAATCTGGTACTAAGAGGGAGAGAAAGACGACTGTTTTCCACATCCCAAAGGAGTTTGCAGGAAGGTTTTGCGCAAGTTAAGGAACTCTGAGGTGGCTGTCCCAGGAGCAGTCCAGAGCAGGCAGGTTTGCAGAGCTGGAAGCCGTCACTCTGGTCAAGTGAGCAGCACTGGACTTGAGAAAGGTTTATGAATTCCCCCAGCTCTTCTCAAACACCAATGACAGAGCGAGAGAGCGCAGGAGTCGAGGAAGGTGGGTGTGGGGAGAAGGCGGGGTCCCCCCAGGACCCTGTCGGACTGAGCTGCATTAGGCTGGCCAGCCACGACGTGCAGAGCAAGCAGAGGCTGAGCACTTCGGGAGAGACGTGCGTCACCCAGGTTGTGGGTGTTTAAGGGAACTCAGCGTTGGAGAGCTTGAAGGCAAGGCAGTGTCAGATCAGGCGTGGTCCTCTGGCCCCTGGGGGCGTGCAGGTGTGACTGGAAGCGTGATCAGGGATGGAGCAGAGCAGAAGCTTTCGAAGGAAGAGACTCCCCTTTCCCAGCCTGCACCCTGATACCACTGAGTTCCTGAGTCAGAATTGGTAAGTCAGAGATATTCTCTGATGCTTACAACAAGTTTGTGCTTTTCAAGATTTTGAGGCGAGACCAGTGCTGTGGCGTGGCAAGTAAAGCCGCCGCCTGCAGTGCCGGCATCCCATATGGGTGCCGCTTCAAGTTCCGGCTGCTCCACTTCCGATCCAGCTCTCTGCTATGGCCTGGGAAAGCAGTGGAAGACGATTCAAGTCCTTGAGCCCCTGTACCCCCGTGGGAGTCCCGGAAGCTCCTGGCTTCAGATGGTGCAGCTCTGGTCATGTGGCCATCTGGGGAGTGAACCAGCGGATGAAAGATCTCTCTCTCATTCTCTCTGCCTCTGCCTCTCTGTAGCTCTGCCTTTCAAATAAATAATTAACTCTTAAAAAAAAAAATGTTCTGATGCAGAAGCATCAAGCCCAGCTCACGCATTTGCTCAACTCAGCTGAAGATCTCAGCAGACCAGACTCCCTCCCTCTCCCTGCAGGGGCTTACGGGGAGCTGCCACTGTGTGCCAATTCCCCAAGGCTCTGAAGCCCTCAGGCCCACGGCGCCGCCGGCCCACCCAGCCCTCTGGACTGAACACGACTCCTGGGGAAGAGGAGCCTCCCACAGCCTGCCTTCACCCCTCAGCCCCACACACATCTCTCCTCCACAGATCTGTGGTTTGGGACAGAATTTGGTTCTGGGCTGCATTCTTGGCCGGGGTTTCAAAGCATTCAAATCAACTTGGCAAGCCTGAAGGCCCCAGACCAGTGGCTGAATCTGTTGGCCATCGATGGCCCTGACACTGATGGTTGCAAGAGGATGGC